AGAAAGAAAGAAAGAAAGAAAGAAAGAAAGAAAGAAAGAAAGAAAGAAAGAAAGAAAGAAAGAAAAGAGGTACAACCCCCCCCATCTTTGTAACGTTCCCCCAACCCCAAAATCATTACTTGTAATTTGAAGTCCTAAATGATATGGCACATTTTCCCATCTGCTGAGATCACATCAGTGGCATTTTTACTCCTCCATTTCTGAATTTTGAGGTTTAACCTCCTTTTTGTTTCCACCTGACTGGGTTTACAGAAGGAGGCATTTGTTAAAGAATGCTCCCTTTTCGTTCACTTAAGACTGCAGTATATATATATATATAAATATGAATATAGATATATATAGATATGCATTTTATTTTACTTGTGTACAAGTACAAAAAAAATGAAATAAATATTTCTTTTTTTTTTTCTTTATGGTGTAATCACCTTCACACGCATCCACCCCCCACCCCCCACCCCCTATTCTGTGGGTACTTCAGTGCTGGACTTTTGTTCCTGGGTTTGCTCGCTTGTATTTCTAAGCTTCTGCAAAGGCCTCCGAGATGCCTGGGCTGCTGAAAGAAAAGCTAATGGCGAAGCCAGGCTGTATAGCTCGATGCAATGTCTAATCAACATCAGCCAAGGATTCCTTCACATGGACCCCACTCTGCTAATGGTGCGGTGCTCTCCCTGGCTCCCTGAAGGGTCTGCTTACATCATGAATATTTCAGGCGGCTCAGAATAGCAAGCCAGGATTGAAATCAGGGCTCTGGCCAAGTGCAGCTTAGGTACAAGAGAGCAGGGAACCGAGAGTCAACAAAAATCCAAATACGGAAGAGCCCTGGAGTGGATAGAAAAATAGGAAGGTAGATTCACACACGTCTGTTGAAGCTGAACTAAACTCTGGTCTCTGTGTGTGGGGGTATGTATGTATGTACGTATGTATGTTGGGATGAAATGTCTATTTTTCATGTATTTTTTCTAGGACATTTGAAAATGTTTCTTTGAAAGCCTTCTGGAGACAACAGCCTCCCTGTTCTGTTTCTGCAAAGGTGCAATTTTAATCCTCCAGAGATGGGCGTTCTCTGAACTGCAGGCAGATGGTGCTTTCCAATTTGCTCCCCATCCTAGGGAATCAGGAGATGGTGCAGCTCTTCAGGAAATACCCAAGTACCTCAAGCGGTCCCCGAAATGCTGGAGCCGTTGTGAACGCTCCACTAGACGTGTGAGCCTCACAAAGCCCTGTCCAGAGTCTTCTCTTGCTTTAGGGTGAGCTGGTATTCCCAGGCCCTTCCACGGCGACTTCTCCTGCTCGCAAATGAAATCACCGTCCTGCCAAAATCGGCCTTACCATTTCTGAAAGTTCTTCTGCAAAAAGCTTTTTGTTTTTCTACCTCATTCACAGGGTGCTTGGGACTTCCTTTTGAATGTTGGTGGTGTTTTTGAGCTGGTGGTGTTTCTTTTTCCTTACCCTTCTTGCCGTCCCTTTCCAGCCTCCCCATCGGTCCACCTTTTCTAAATGCCCTGGGGAGAAATTCCCTCCTGGAGGTGCGTGAAGCCAGGGAGACCGCAGGCCGCCGGAGAGAGAATTTTAGCAAGATTTACTGAAAGGGAATGTCGTAAGGTTGCGGAAGTCTCCGTGACTGGATTGCTTCACTTTAGAACCCAACTTCTCAGCTCATTAAGGCAGAAACGTCTTCCACTTTTTATTAAAAGCTTTGCTGTGAACCGGTAAAGTGGCTGTTTGTTTTCCAGGTAACTGAGGAAGGTGCAGATGGCCGCAGTTTCCCCAGCCAACCTCTGAAATCTCTCAGGGCCTGTGGGCTGGAGACAGGATTCATGTTCACACACATCCCTTGGCCATTTGGTTTAAGAACACCACGCTGCTTCTGAGAGAAATTGGTCCAGTATTGCATCTTCTGAAAGGAAGTTTGAAAAAAATGTCCGCTTCATAGCATCGTGGAGTGTATGAATGGGGAAGTAGTCAACTTTTCAGTGCAGGAGTCCATGAATCAGTCCATGATAGGTGGCCAGCCGGCTCCCAGTAGACTGTACGAGTCATGAGTCAGAGGGACCAAGAGGTCAACCAGTTAGCAGTTAGAAGTCAAGTAGATTTGCTCTCCAAGATGCCCGAGACCCTGGTTCATCAAACTTAAGGAGAATGGGTAGGAAAACGTACAGGATCATTTTTCTATATGACCCTGGTGAATTTTGCCATGACCTAATCCTTCACGGACTTCAGGAAGTAGTAAAGAAATGTACTCATGTTCCAAGATGATCAAGTGAACTCTGACGTTTTATACTGCTGAAGAAATAACGTTTTTTACTACGTTTTTATATTTTTCTCCCAGAAATGCTAGCCTTTTTCTGTGCGGGATCCTTCCAAAAGAGAGATTGTCTCTGCAATCTGAAGTGGTAGAGTCCCCTTCCATGCCATGACTCTGCCACTTGGATCCAGCCTAAAAAAAAAGCATGCGGGCTGTTTATTCTCTGAAATAGTAATGACGGCTTTCCCTCACCAATGATGCGGTAATACAGTGCATCTAATTCGCTTCCTCGGCCTCACAATTACACCAGTTGAATTTTGAAGGTTAGCCACACATGGCTTATGAGATTGGCAGGGGTGGGAGTCACAAAATGAAGATGGCAACTGCAGCTGTAGGATTGAAGCCACCAGCTTGACTTTTTTGCCCAGCAACTCATGTAGACACCCCTGGAAATTGAGCAAGCCTTTTGCAGGAGAAACGGCTCCTTTGGGGCTGGGAGTTGGAGTAGACATTTCTTTCTTCATTTAGAAAAAGGGAAAAGAAATGATGACATGCCATCTTGATGGACTGAGTCAATAGTTCTGTAATCTCCCCCCCCCCCCCCCCATTCCTTCCCTTTTTCACAGGCAATTAAATAAAAGGGGGCTTTTAGCAGGTGAATTGTGTTTGGAAGAACAATGTTCGGTGGTGTAACATTACACTGAGGGGATCTACAGAACATAAACTTGGCACCCTCTGGCCACTTAGAAAGGGCACACTTTTATTAAACAGCTACCACGCTGAAGAGGTGAAGCTGAACGGCAACTTTTACAGCTTTCGTTCTTGCAAATTAAAAAATGAATCCCTCTGTGAATATCAGTTGGATAAACAAAACGATCCTTCTCTTCCTCGTACGTTTTCTGCTTTTCCTTTGTTCTTTCTACTCCGCTCCGTAGCATCAACTCACGCCCAGTTCCGTGTAACTTCAGAGGAATGTGTGCAATCGCCAGCGCCATCCACGACAACAGCTTCTGTCTGGAATTTGGCGTTCTGCTCCAAATAATTAGAGTAAATCCAAAGACGGGCACCCAAAGCTACAATCTAGCAAACCAATATTGAAGGTGGTCTCTGCTGAATTCATAGAATTATATTTGAAAAGGGCAGGGAGCAGATAGTATATGAAAGGCATCTAGAAGGAAGCAATCCTTCTGTGACTCTAGAGCTGGGTTTCTCAACCTTGGCAACTTTAAGACGTGTGGACTTCAACTCCCAGAATTCCCCAGCCAGCCTTG